CCTGAATTTTTGGAAAATAATTAAAATTGAAAGACAAAAATTATCGCTAATTTAACTGCATCGAGCCGAGTTCTTGAGAAGTCAGTAGTTCAATGCCCAGCAGTTTGTGTTACTCGAAGTTCTTTGCCGCGTTTACAGCAGTCCGTCACTAGTAGCTGTGATAAGCCGGATGAATCCCGACGATACATTTTAATATTATCCTCCTATGTACGTCCAAACCAACCTAGTTGTCTCTTTCTTTCAGGTTTTCCTACTAACATGTTATATGCGCGCTACATGTCCTTCCGCTGTCCCTCGATTTCGCCCTGTAATGTTATCCGACGAGCAGTACAAATTAAGACGCTGCTCAATATGCAATTTCCCACGGGGCCCAAACGACAGAACTGCTTTGTACGAAGAGCAAGTGTCATGTCCCTTGCGCCCTTGTCGCACGCACGTCCTGCTGGTGTGATGGCTGCTCGCGTCTTGCTTCAGCGAACAAATACTATGAGCGGTTGCGGAAGGAGGGGGGGTGTCGTTTTCATTTGGATTGGTGCTATGAGAACCACGCCCCCCAGGCACGACATCTGTCCCCAGTGGGGTTCAGTTTCCTGTGTAATTGGATTGGCACACTGGGTGACACCCAACCTGGCAACATTTGGGCTCATTTTTCCTCGGTGGTGAATATTAACGTTACGGTAGTGTGGTTTCGGAGCAACTTTCTGTCTCCTTCTTCAGACTTACTTCTACCCAGAAGATGGAGGCAGCAAGTTCCTCCGAAACGCTGGTAACTGTCTACCGAACTTCAAGCAGAGAAATCCCGGAAGGCTGCATCTAGAGTCCTTTAGGTTGGAGCCTACCGACGCTGATAGCCGATACATCCACAAGGCCGAGCCCAACCAGAACATTTGCTTACACTTACGTTTGGGCGACTTTCCGCGATTTCGGCTGAGCACAGAAGAATTCTGCTATTTCACATCTGACAAGGCCTGCAGACGAGAATGTTTTGTGATCGGGAACAAATCCATCTCGAAAGTTTGACGGATGTAGGTTTTCTGTTAGCGCCTGAACGGCCCAACGGGTTTCATCCTTAGCCGGTGTCTGAGGGCTTAGCCATCGGAGGGCGGCCCACGGTGAATATCAGTACACCAGCTCCAAAAATAAGGGCCCTTAGATGGTCCCAAACACAAACTAGCGATATCTCGTAAAGGACTCGAACGATTTTGATCAAACTCTGGTGGATTATGGAGGGCCTCTGCCTGAGCCGAAGGACGCACACTAGCGGATAAAACGCGGAGCGTATGTTTTGTTTCATTGTTGTTCGGTATTCAGCAACCAACAATGGTTTACAAAGCAACAAGCGATGGTGTTGCAGCAGATATGGAGCTATGCTATAGAGAGCTAGAAAGCAGTATCGACGTGGTACGGTCACCTGGGGTGGGACGCCGTGCAGTCTGGCTGCTCGTTACAAACATTTCGTCTTTAGAACGGTAGGGAGAACATAGCACGCGGAGAGGGAGGGTCGGGACTCGCTTCAGCGCGGTCCGTATGATACCGGGGCCGTCGGAACAGCGACCTCCTGACCTGATGGACTATGGCGGTGTCCACACGGGATCGTCTTCACTGTGATCTCTGTCTGAAGTGCGGAATGCAACTAGCTGCATGTCCAGCCCATCCTGCCTGTCGACACGTCGGCCGTGTCATGCCTGCGCTCTGCGACGAGTTGAAATTAGAAACGTCGCGACGCGTCTGGTACTCTGCCAGCGCCGAGAGGCTAGTCACTCCGTCTGGACTTTCTGGTAGCCACTGTGCCATCTGGTTTCCTTCGCTTCTAATATCTGGTCTTCCCAGCAGTGGTTTTCCCACCACCACACTCGTCCCCTGCCCGCCTGTATCATTCGCGAAGTCCCCAGGTTACACGGCCCGTCCAGGCTAATGCTGCGGCACGTGACCACTCGCTCCTATCGCTACAGTAGGCCCATAGCCTTCGTCCGGGACATCAGACGTAGCCAGTTCTCTCATCAATTCCTTCCGGTTCGATTTCGACAAGCGTGCGCCGAACATTTAAGGAAATATGGGGCATTTGTGGTGGACAAAGTGGAGCTGGGCAGGTTTTCTCCGAGCACTTCGGTTTCCCCTGCCAATCTTCATCCCACCAGTTGCTGCACAATCACCCTCGTCTATCATCTGGGGCTGGTACAAGAGGCCAGTAGTGGCTGCAGTCCCAAGTGGACTCAGTCTCGCCCCACTAAAACAATAAATAAAAGTAAGAAAGTACAGAAAGCAGTAACTGCTGACTGTGTACCAGAGTGCACGGAATCTTGTGAAAAGCAGACAGCAAGAGTCGTGCCACGTCATACACCGCCGCCCAATTAACACCCGGACGCTAAATATGGTAGAGTCATTTTGATTTTCATTTGATGGCCATCATATTGAGGGCTACTTAGCCTAAGACCCTGTAGGTTGAGGCCTATCGTTCGCACTCGCGTGTTCACGTGCGGCCGTCCCAGCATGAATAAGCTCAAGTCACAGAGTCTCAACTCTTCATGTGGACCAGTCTCCATACTGAATGAAAATCCGACGTTTCTGAGTTGTATCTCCTAACTTCATCATGACGATCATGTCATAGCTTAGCCGGTTGGTCGCCGGCTTCCCATCCGGGTTCGATCCCGGGTCAGTTTATATGGGATTTGGGGACACCGGGACGTGTTCCGCAGACTGCGTCCTGTGATGTGATGCTGTTGTCTCAGTACTGGTTCGCCGTGACAGGGGTCGCTCTGTGGGCGTGTAGTCACCACTCCGTTTTGAAATTTAAGGACATGTTAAATTGGCGTGTGCAGTGAATACCGGTGGCTGGACGCCAAGCTGAAGACGACAGGCTCCGTGACGCAGACAGCGGCCGCAGTTGACGCCGCTGTGAGCACGGGCCGGCAAGCGCTCCTCATCTCACGGTCACAGGAAACGCTTGCGCCACGTCACCATTTACATAATCAGTCGATTATTTTATGTCTTTTTGAGCTTAAAATGAAGACGCGACTGGGGAAGGTGCTCTGTCCTTTCACACTTCACCTTCGGAAGGGCACATTTTCAATTCGTTCGGCATGTCTGGTACATACTGATACCGGACCGAGTTCTGGGCCGCTTCGGTCCAATACACAGCTCAGAAGTTCGCTCTGGCGTTAGTATGTTTGTGAACCTTGTCGGTCTCTCTGCAGGCGCCGAGCGGCTCATATTCCGAAGGGTACTGGGCCCGATCCTCAGCAGGACACAGCTATCCAGAAGTGTTTCCTGGTTTTCCTACGTCCTTCGAGTCAGATGGATGGCTAGAATTTCGACTCGACACGGCCTATCGCTCCAGAGTGCTGACGGCGATTCTACAGAAGCAGCCAACTTCCCGCCTGCCTTACTTTTCGAGGCGAGCTGCTCTTCCGAAACGTCGCGTTTTTTCCAACTACGCGGAGACGCACACAAGATGACATTTCCTTATTAATTATAACAAATATGTAAATATACAGGCCTATTCGCATTCGTCACTGCTCTGTTAAGATTACGTATTGTCTTTTAGGCTATAACACTGATTAATTTTCTAAATACTTACTAATTTTTCGAAGGAACCTGCCGCCTCCATCTTTAAGAACCTTGAAGATGGAAGTACTAGGTACAACCGAACCGCTGGCAAATATACCACACGATACGGTGTCATATTTCAGAGAATAGTAGACCTGTCTTACAGCGAACGGCATGAGTTTCCTGTGAGTATTTACCTCTGAGAGTCTGCATATGTGCCCGCCTTCCATTAAGCGGTTGCCAAGCAACAAACTGCGCTGGAATTCGAGGGTTAAGCTCATGTGCGGCCCCAACGCCGTAACAAATATCCCAGCCCGAGCTGGCAGAAGTCAGATTCTCATGACGTCACACGTGCTGCTTGCGACATGGCAACAGAAATGTGCCGACTTGACCTGGCCTACTCAGGCATCATCAGGCGCTCTGAATTTCTTTTTTTTGGGGGGGGGGACTGCTGTGCCTTGCCCGCTA